TAATAATAATAATAATAATAACCTGGAATCCATAGAAAAGCCACCCTCGCCCACTTACGCTTTACCTGACTACTCCTTTCCATTTCGCCCTCCAGGTATTTGGCCGTGTACCATCCTGTGCGTGACGGTGTTGCCAAAAGACCTAACTGGGTCAACAAAGATCACACACAGAATGGACAGACCCCTGTATCCGACACATTTGCCCTCCATTCATTCTGTATATATGCAGGAAAGTGTCCTAGGGCTTTAAGGCCTTATCTGAAAACGTCTCTCTTACGGGAGACAGGAGTCTGTCTCCTGTTTTTCTTCTGCGCCCGCTCTCTCTCTACAGTATTTGTTTTTCTCAACTTGTGCGACATCTTCTCTACGTCTCTGTGAAGAGCAACGAACTCAACTGGCTGCTTCCTCCTAGCGTGCCTCTTTCTCTGTCTGCAGCTTCCTCCCCTTCTCTTTCTTCCATGTACTGAACTCCAGCGACTCTTATTAACCTGCCGGTTCATCCCTATTCTAGGCAGAAAGATGCCCGGGTGCGCACGCGCAGGCGCCCCCTTGCTTCAGCCCGGTAACACCCGTCGTCATCTGCTGAACTTTTCCAGCTCCGCATCCAAGGAGGAGCCCGAAAAACTGGCAGGGGCACGTCCCCACACACCTGAAGCCCGCACCAGCCCCCTCCCCGCCCCGATGTACGTGGAGGACGCTTGCACACGCGCGGGGCTCCTCCCCAAACAATCGAGTCGGCTGCGAAATGCCAACTCTTAAAGCAGATCAGACCGGATCCGGCTTCCTAAGATAACCGGGCAAAGAGAGAGCAGAGAACTGGGCGGTGAGAGGAGATCTGGGCGGCGGCGGCGGGCATCTGGAAAGATCAATAAATTTTCACGGGGAGACCCGGTCTCGAGCTCGCCTCTGCCCCTGCCCCGACCCGCCTCCAGTCACTCCAGAAAGCACAGCACACGAAGGAGCCTGGGCTCTGGTCTCCTCTCTCCTCCTCCAGCTCCTGGCTTCTCTCCCCTCTGAACTCCCCCCCCGCCCCCTCCGGGCCTCAGCGAACCTCTAGTTCGGTGTGTGCGAAGGGAGCAGGGGATGGCAGCAGAGTAACCCCTTCGGCGCCAGTCTGCCGAGGAAGGGCTCTGGAGGAAGGAGGGACGCCCGCCTGCCTGCTCTCGCCTCCCTCCCTGCCTCTCCTCGCCCCCGTCCTTCCTCCCGCAGAGAGGCAGACAGCGAGGAGCAGGCGCGGCTCAGACAGGGGGGATTTTCGCCGTTTGCTTTTCAAACCTTCTAAACCAACAAACAAACAAGAGCTCAGAGAGACACCTCTGATCCCAGCGCTGATTAAAGAGCCCTGAAAGCAAGGAAGAATAAAGCCGGGCTGAAGGAAGCAGACGGTAGGCCCCGGGCTGGCCATAAAACTGATCGCTGGGCGAGATAGCCTCCCAACCTCCAGCAAAGCCGAGCCCGGCCGCCCTCCCCCCGGCCGAGCCGCGCGCCTTGCAAGTTACAGCCACAGGATCCCCACCGTCACCCTCTTCTCCATCCCCGGGTGGGTGCGTGGGTGGGTGGGTAGGTGGCGACTCCTAAAGCTTGGCGATGGCGAGGGGGCAGGGAGGATGGAGTCACCGAGTCATCCGTCTGCTCCTCCAAATGGATCGCACCGCCCGCGAGGAGCTCAACGCCGGCAGAGGTGTCAACAGACCCGGGATCGCTATCTCGTAATTAACCCTGCCCTTTGCCACTTCGCTGAAGCGCGACTGTCTCTGGACGCGAGAGCTTCGGTCCTCCTTCGATCTAACCCGTTTGGAGCACAGGCTGCCGGCAAGGATGATGTGACCAACACGTCCAAAATACCTTTGATTAAAGAAGGGAGGGAGGCCGCCCTGCTTCAAGCCTCACCCTAAGGCGTATTCGCCGCAGAGATGAAATCGGACCAGCCATTTTCTCATTTACCCCCCCCCGCCCCCCATACTCACGAAAGGCCTAGAAACTCTGCTGCGTGGCGTCCATTCCCCCCCGCCGCGGCCGGCTCTTCAAGGCCTAGAAACTCTCCTGCGTGGCGTCCATTCCCCCCGCCGCGGCCGGCTCTTAGACCCTGAAAATCCAGGGAGTGGGACGCGTGCCCGTGTTCCTAGAACTGGGGGTGGCGCTGCTGGAATAAGGAGCCGCGAGGCTTCTCAAACCCTCTAAAAAGAGCTCTTGTTCGTGGAGGGGGAATGAAAGGTGGGAACGCCTGCGTCGAGAGCGAGGGAGGGAGAAGAGGGCGGCAATTATCCCACGCAGGAATGAAGCAAGCTAGGAACGGATCACCCCACCACCCCGCATTTACACACGGAGGTTTTAACCTTCTGCATCCCTCTGCAATACGCAAATGTCATCTTTTGTTTCCAAAGAGAGGGAGCGAAGGCGATGAAATGGAAACCTAGCGGAGAGAAGCTGTTGATAAGTGGAAATCGAAAATGTCCCAGGGCTCGGTCAGCCAAGCGGGTTGGGGTGGGGGGGGAGGAAAAGAAACTTCCCCAGCCCTCTCCTTAGTTTCCTGGCTCGTTGGAGCTGGGCTGCGTCGTGGGCCAGGACGTCTCTGCAAAGCCCCCCCTAGAGGAGGAGGCGTCTCTCTCTCCCTCTCTCCTCTCTCTCTCCCCTCTTTCTCTCTCTCTCTCTCTCGCTGGCGCTCCCTCCCTTCCTTCCCAGTGGCAGCGGCTGCCGCTGGCTGTTGCAAAACCCGCTCGCTCGTTCGCCCTTCCTCCTTCCTCCCTGCCTCCCTGCGTCCCTCCCTCCCTCGCCTCTGATCATGTTGACATATTCGCACGGCACCGAGCAGTAGGGATGCTTTTGCTACAGCGTTACAATGTCCGACACCTTCTTTTTATAACTCGGCTCGGTCCCCCTCCGCTCGACCTGTCAAAACCACGCCTATGGAGCCACACAATTGGTCCGAAAGCGTCAAAGAGCCAATCAAGTATGCCGCAGCTGCTCTGCAACCTCACAACACATCCATACAATCCGGCGCAGCCAAGCAGCCAGCCTCAGACACACACACACACACACACACACACACACACTCTTGCACACACACCGGGGATTCGTGGAGCCGAGCAGCAACGCTTTCTCTCTCCCTCTCTCTCTCTCTCTCCCTCCCTCTCTTCTTCTGCTCTTTCCGGCGTCCCCCCCCCCCCCCCGCCTGCCCGCCCGCCCGCCTCCGTATCTCCTTCTCCTTTGCCAGGTCTCGGAAACCGAAGTGAGGTTTCCAAGGTTCCAAACTGCAGTCATTAAGAGGGCTTCTTCCTCTTAAGTTTTGAAAAAACATTCTTCGTTTTTTTTTTAAACTATTAATAATAAAAGAGGCATCGAAGAAAAAGGAGCGCGGAAGAAGGAACGGTCGGGAGAAGACGGCGGGAAGAAGACGCTCGCTGGAACCAAAACTTTGGCAAAGGCGAGGCTGCTGCGCGGGGGGGGGGGGAGGGGGAAACGGAAGCTGCAACACTCGCGACAAGTTTGGGGGCTGCTGCTGCTGCTGCTCTGGAGCCTGATTAAGACGAGGCGCTCTTCGCCTTAATTTGGCTTCCCGCCGCCCCTGTTCTTTCTCCTATACATGCGTGCGCGCGCGTGTGTGTGTGCTCGCTCGCGCATATATACACACACAGAGACACCTCCATTTCTCCAGTTCCGCCGCTTTGCTAGCCCCGAAACATAAAAGAAAAAGAGGTCAAGGAGACAGCAGGAAGCGGGAGTAAAATATCCCGGCTGATTTGCACAAAAGAGGAAAACCTCCCCGGGAAAAGACGCGTCCTCCAGCCCACCTTCTTTCTACCTGCAAGACGGAGGCCGCCGCGTCTCGCTCCATCTTCGTCCGGCCGCAATCGCCCCGGCGACCCCCTGGCCCGGCTCTGAGCCCTTCGCGGCCAACCCGCCAAACTCCGGCGTGGATCTGTGGCGATCGCGGGCTTGGCTGCTTTAAACTCCGCAGCTGATCGCAGAAGCGTGCATCCGGGAAGAGGGAGCTTCGCAGGGCGCCCCTCCGCCCCGGGTGGCCCTGCGCCCCAGCATGGAGCCGGTCTCCTCGGCTCGCTGGTGG